AGAAACAGATCCTGTCTAACCCTGAATGTTTGGAAACACCTTGTATCTGTGACTTTCCTTCCCTCCATTGATTATGGTGATATTATTTACATGAACGCTCCTACAAGAACCTGCAGATGTTGGATGCTGCAGATGTTGGATGCTGCAGATGTTGGATGCTGTCTATCATGGTGCACTAAGATTCATAACTGGCTGTAACTAACGTACCCACCACTGCACCCAGTATTCACTGGTTAACTGGACACCATTAACTTCACAGACTTGTCTGCATATGATGTCATTTTATTAAAATTTCTGTGACAGACATCATCTCTGTTGAAGAACTTCCCTATAAAATACCCGCCAAAAGTATTTTTACTTGATTACAGTGAACTTCTACAACAATAAAGCATCAAAGCCAACTTCTCGTGGATAACGCTCTGAGAATAAATGGATTTTGTTGGGATTTAAAATTCGCCCCTCGGGTCCTTTAATGAAAACCTTTATCAAACCAGACGGATGAACTGTCACATTCAAAGAGCTTCAACAGAAAAGGGCTCCGAGCGCCGGCCTCATCGTTTTCTTACCGACTTTCTGTCTGGAAACACGAGTGGAGGCCGACCAAGAACGGGTTTGTGGAGGCCTGCTCGAACACGTGCTTCTCCGTCTGCACCCAGTCGATATCCTGCAGAGACGAGGGCAGACGGACAGAAACGGAGAGGATCAATTTGTCTGATCGATGGGCTTTTCTCAGGCAGTGGATCTCTGAGTCGCCCCAGATAAGAGGCTGGAACTTGAACGCTGCGTCACAACAAATCAACACAAACTTGTTTTACAAAGTCCGCGACACAACGAGCAGCCCGGCGGTTTGTTAAAGACATTCAGGACGTTGGCGCAGGTTCCAACCAGACTTCCTGTTCTCGTTTGTGAAGACGTCTAACCTCTGATCCAGGACTTCTGAGGTGAAACGTCTTCGTCTCATGAAACAACTCGTTATACAAGTTCTGACAGGGTTTAATGAAAATACAAGACACCGAACCAAAAGCGCTGGAGGAAATACGTCAATGAAGATAAAAAAAAACGTGTGAAAAGTTGAATCCAACAAACGCTCAAAAAGCAACACATTCAGGTAAAAACAAAACCTGAGTCGTCGGTTAGAATGTGGATAAATCAACATTTTAATTAATCGAAAAGGTTTTATACAAACTACAGGTCATAAAGCGCTTCACCAAAGGGTGGGGAAAAATGGATTCGAACAGAACCTCTCACCTTAAATTAAAAAAACTGAGGTCTGATGAAATTTAAATAATAATAGTAACCGTTACACAACCGCAACACAGAAAAAGTGACAATGTTGTGTAACATGTAAACAAAGACTGATTCACAAATCTCATAATCACATACTTTATTCTCAATGGACAAGAGTAAACATATTAAAAAGTTTTAAAGTAAGTTGTTTTTCTTTTGTTCAAACCAGCTGGTAATCGGAAACAGGTCAGCAAGAAGGCCGGGTTTAAAAAGAGCATTTTAGTTTTATTTGTTGCCGATATCTGTTGGTTGTGTTATGTATAACAAAAAGATAAACAATCAACAAAAAACAAGTTAGAAAAGAGCGTTTAGAAGTAAAGATGGGCAGAGGTTCACCAGTCTGGGGAAAATTCTGTCTAGAACTTGAAACAGTTCTTCAACAGAAAACTGTGAAGACTTTAATCTCCATCATGTTTTGTTCATAATCAACAGATTAGAAAAATGTGAAATGGTCAACTGTTACAGCAGGACGTTCTAAAATATGGAGTTCCACAAGGATCCATTTTGGGTCCCTTGTTGTTTCTGATATACATTAACGATTTACTTAAAGCATCTAGTAGTTTGTCACTCGTCTTATTTGCTGATGACACCAATCTCTTTGTTACTGACAGTAACCTTGACTCACGTATTGATAAGGTAAATTATGGGATCATTCAATTTGTTCAGTGGATTCAGCTAAATAAAATATCACTTAATCTTAAAAAAAAAATCTAATTTCATCTGATTTAAGAATAAAAACTACAATCCCGAAAAAACTAAATTGTTTAATAATTTACTTTCCAATTTTTCATCAACTAAGTGTTTAGGTATCTATATCGATGAGAAACTTTGTTTTAAGAATCATTGTGAATTTGTGTGTAAGATCTTAAAATATTTAAATATTATCCATTTCAGAAAAAACACGGAGCTGGAACAACGTTAAAGAAACGTGTTGCTGACATAAAATTTAAAAATTAACTTTTATTCCACCTTAAATTATTTCAGTTTCTTGGTTGAACCATTTTTTTACTTTGTTCCACTGAATAAAACGTTTGAGAACTTTTCAAATCGTTACGTTTTGATTTGCTTCTACACAACCAAAGATTTTTGGAACTGTCTCCATCTCGTCATTTTGTTTTATGAGCAGCGTTTGACCGAAGCGCCGTCGTCTTCTGAGGCCTGAAGTGCTCCAGAAGAAGAACACCCGTTGAAACAGCGACAGACGTTTAGGGCGCGCTCCGTCACGGAGCGGTGGGGTGAAGTACGGGGAGCGCGTTATCAGCCAGCTGTGGCTTTAATCGTCCACTCTTCAGAAACGGAGAGCCGAGGCTGTTCAGCCGGAGGAGATTAACGCTGATTTAAAGTGTCGATAAGTGGATGATAGCTGATGTTTTTATGCCCCACAATAAACTGGATCCACAGTTTGAACTTCCCACGCTGCGCTCCGATACGTTTAATGCCTAATTCATAACAGCACACACCACAGGCCGGGAGAGAGATAATAAAATCCTTTTGGGCCACAAGAATTTATAAAGAGGCTGAATATTTGATCATAAAGCATCTCATGCTGCTCATTTCAGCAGCTTTAGTTGTTCGAGTCTTTTGTCCAAGATTTGTTTTTCATACCGGAGATTAAACAAGTGTTTATGAAAACGATCAGGGAATAATTAAAAAGTTGACGTTTAATCACAACATTGGAAAGACTCGTTGATTTCCTTGAATCTCTTTTTGTTGGCAGAAAACAAAAAGTCTCGTTGAGTTGGTTTTAGATCTTCGGAGACTTGGAGCTGTGAAGATGTTTCACTTCAGGTCTGACGGGAGGAGGAACAGTTTTTAGGGAACTGGTTGAACAACAGCTCCACCTTCTGGATGTAACCTGAACTACCAGCAGTCCAAAGGGTCCGCCATAATTCAGTCAACCTTCATTTATACAGGTTAGTCTCGCTGAGCCTCGAGGACTCATTTACAGTAATGGGTTTCTAAAAGTCCATTTTAGACCATTTGAACCAGAACTAAAACATGCACGTTACGCTGATTGGTCAAATTGTTTTAGGCTCAATTGTCCCTAAGAGAGAGAGAGTGAATGGTTGTGTCCCTGTGATGGACCTGTCCAGGGTGTCCCCCGCCTCTCAAACAGTGACTGCTGGATATGGGCACCAGTGACCCCCGTGACCAGAAGAAGAAGAAGAAGGATGATGAGGAGGAGAAGATAAATGGCTGTTACGTGCACGTCCTAATATAAACTGTGATCTCTTCAGGGGCTTTTAGGATCTTTTAAATCCATCACTCCTTTGTTTTAATATATATACTTGTGGTGTTTGTATTCATATAGCTGGTGGTGGCCATCTTTAATTTTGACTTGACAATCCACTTTTTCTCTGATCGTCACTTTCCTTACGTCTGGATGTCTCCACACGCCAAAATAAAAGTCTGTTCTTCACTCATTGTTCACGTTACGCTCACAGCGTGCACGGACAGACGGACCGAGCGTATTTACAGTTCCCCCTCTTCGCTCTGCGATGAGGGACAGTTACAAAGTACTAGCTGCAAACTCCTGCACAGAGCGCTGAACTCCCCAGGTGTGGGCCGTGGCTCACCTCGTCATCGTGGACCAGCTCCTTCTTCACCACCTTCATGGCGTACGTCTGCTCGTTCTTCTTCAGCCGGACCAGCAGAACCTTGGCGTAGCTGCCTCGCCCGATCACCCGGATCAGCTCGAAGTCGCTCAGGCTGAGACTCACGCCCTGCGACAGCTTAATGCTGTCGATACCGTCCACCACGGCGCTGATGTCCTTCAGGTGGTTCAGATCAGAGTCCTGCAGGTGGGACGATACCTTCACGTGAGTGACAGCTCAGGTGTTTTAGACAGAGTGAGCAGACAAAGGTCTCACCTCCGTGTCCACATCATCCGTTTTGTCCACTGCACAGTTGTGCGGTAGAAACGATACTGTAACGAGACAACAATGAATTTATCCACTTTATTTATTCCTGGGGGCTCCAGTGTATAAATGATTATGGGTACAACTTCCTGTCAGACAGGAAGTAGCAGTAAGTATTGGTTAACGGAGCGCAGACCGCGGTTTATTTGAAAGTAATTCTTTCAGTTCAGCAAATAAATTCTGTTTTTGTTTTGTTTACATCTATTTAACAACCATAAAGTTTACTAAAACAGCCGTGCTGAGTTCAGGTACCTGTTGTGTTCATGGCTGCAGATCAAGCGGATCAAACTAAATCAGTGGCTACAACAACAGAGTTTGAACATGAACCCAAAACAAAAAGAGTTCCTGTGATAAG